CCCGGGCCTGCCAAATTACGCGCCCCAGGCCCAAAACAAAGGCAGATGAGACATCAGCTCTTCCTCCTTGGCCTTTCTCCGCGGCCGGCCGGGGCATTGGACTGTACGGACCTCCCATTATACTGCACTCGGCTCCTGTTTTTGTCTCTTTGTTGTGTGCGATATTTTATCGTCGAGTTCATTGTTTTCATAAATCGTCCACGAGCAGCCGAGCGAGGTTCAATACCTCAAGAGCGCTGCGCCGCTCTGACCTAATTCCGCGTTCACCGCCGTGTCACTTCGCCGTGGGAACTTCTTGTCATCATAATCGTGCCCAATTTTCGTGCCCTTTTTGAATAAAGGACAAACGTTTTTTAATACTACAACATGCTTGTTCTACCCACATGGTTCTACCCTTCTATACCCATCCCTTCTTCTCGTTCATCTCTGACTCACAATTTTCGAACCTTTCCGGTCAGGTCACAGGTCTGGGCGTCACCGTCCGCCGTCCCCTGTCCCCGTCATTAGGAGTCCAGTTAGGTCACAGTCGGCAAAGTCACGAGTCCCCTCTTGGTCGGACCCAGGTCGGACTTGCCCCGGCCCTCCGCTCCGCTCTCCCTGGAGGAAGGTGCACTGGAGGTGCGTGTCCTCGACGGGGATTTTGTTGACCACCTGAGCCCCGGGCCGCCCACCCCCACCCCCTCTACCGACCTCCTCGGAATATCTCTACTTTACCGGACTATTGTCTCTAAGCGAGCCGACGGGGCAAGGCCGGGGGGATGCGGGATGCCCGGGTCTCTCTCTCACACACGTACAAACACGCACGCACGCACACACACGCACACACAAGTCCTTCACCTCATTGGACAAAGGCACGGTGTCATACCATATGATGATCAAGGTGGTATCTTAAGACTGGATAATGGCGGAGGATGAAGGGAAGGGGGTAAGATGATGCGACAGTGAGGCGTAAATTATAAATTATAAATTGCCATTGCCAAAGTCCTTTGGGAAGTCAGTATTCTTGCTGCATAAAAACCTAACATGAGATGACCGACAAAAGGGCGGCGAAAAATCAGTAACGGAATGAGAGTGTGTAATAAAGGGGAAAGGAGGGGGTTTTCTTCTGGTTGAAACAGTGTCTAAAATTCTGAGTCATGTAGCAATTCTCCAAGAGTAGAGCGATTCTTAGGGATATCACAACAAATTCTCAACAGTGTCTCTTTGCAAATAGCAATGCCTAGCGGTCCTGGGGGCTGCGGAGCGGCGGCCAGCGGCGGCGTGGCCTTCGCCTTGGGCTGTATGGGGGACAGAGAGAGAGATACGACGGGCTTTCCTCGGGATGGGCAGGAGACTGTCGGAGACCTTGGTGACCAGTGACCCCCCCTCGCCCCCCTCCCCTCCCCCGCCCGATGCCCCTGCCCTTGCAGTTTAGCTGGAACCTAACGGCAGCGCTCCTAATCCCGCCTACGCTGCAGCCCCGAGCCTGCGGAGCGCAGTAAGCGAGTACTCTGCGAAAATCAATCGACTGACCACGTATTTGTTGTGCGATAAAATCTCTGCATCTCCAATTCCATTTTTAGAATAGAAACAGTTTTTTTTTCGTTCGGTCTCCGGCAGTCACAATGGCTAAACCCTTCACCAGCGGCGCCTCGGCTGTTTTGCTTTTGCTTTCTCTGCCTCTGTTTGGCACCCTGCTATAATTATTTTTTCCGTCAATTATTCTCGTGTCGTTTTCGGTCGAGGTCCGATTCACTTTTGCTCTCATTGTCTTGGGGGCGCACGGCGGAAAAGGGGGGGGGGGCTAGAACCACGGTCAGCAGCGCGGCAAAGTTTCTTAATTGTTTGAGATTTCCTAGGGAAAATCCGGGGAAATCGAGAAAACGGCTGTTCTCACTCCAAGACAACTCACCCCCGAATGAAAGTACCCAAAATTTGTCAATAGATTAGTAGAACAGCACCAAACAACCCACCCGATGCCTAGATTTTGTCCTCTCCGCTAACAGTTCCTCATCTTTTTTCGTTTTGTTTTTGAAATCTTGCTTTTGTAATGAGAGCATGGCGTTGTCTGACCCCGTCGCCTGATAGCGTGGAGGGAGGGGGGGGGGGGGGGGCGAGCCAGGAAGTGCGCCCCGCACCCGATAAGCCCGCCAGGAATAGGCCACCTGTCCAAATTAGGTCAAACTGCGCACGCGCAGCCCGGGGCGCAGCTCATGACCTGCAGGGGTCTTTCAAACGTTGACAATGACCGCCAGCAGCAACACCCGCGTCCCCCCCCCCCTCCTCCCTCCGCATCCGCCTCCCGCGGTCAATGACATCAGC